TTTTTCGTTTGTTATCAAACATTTAAGATGATTATGTTGTATGATATTGATCAAATGTGATTATTTAGGATAAGGTTTGAAGTCAGTAAAACCAGTTTTAGCATGCCTTTTCAAATGTCTCATATACTATTATTTTATTACATCTAATAGTATCTGCAATTTACTGTATGAATTACCATTTTTACAATAATAAAATATCACATCAAATTACTTTGCAATTAATTTGTTATTTTTTTCTATTATTGCAGTTAAAGTTCTGAATGGTTCAGATTAATCTGAAAATTTTTGGTTTGGATCAACTTTGGTTCAGTTTTGGATTGCAAAAAATTTAATCTGAAAATTTTTAGTTCAGTTCAAATTTTTTTTGGATTATAAATCTATTCTGAACTGAAAAAAATTTAAACTGAACCAAAAATTTTAGATTGTTTCAATCAAACTATTCTTTTATTATTCGTTTAGAATGATAATTTTATCATTCTAAATGAATGATTCTTTTATCATTCATTTAGAATGATAATTTAATCATTCCAAATGAACGATTCTTTATCGTTCGTTTGGAACAATAATTCAATCATTCCAAATAAACGATTCTTTTATCGTTCATTTGGAATGATTTTCTTATCATTTGTTTGAAACGATAACTTCAATCATTTCAAATAAACAATTTTCTTATCATTCATTTGAAATGATAAATTTAATCATTTCAAATGAATGATTCTTTTATCATTCTTTTGAAATGATAAATTTAATCATTTCAAATTAACGATTAAAAATCATTTATTAATAATAAAAATATTACTGCAGAAAGCTGCAGAATGTAAAATTGTCAAATGAATGTTTGACTATTTTCTTCAAGTAAAATATTTGTACTAACTATTTTCTCTTTGACTTTGCAATTAATCTTAGCTAGCTTTACCACTCACTTACTTGGAGTTATCAAATTTTGCTATATAATTTTGTTACTTGGTTTTGATAATTCCACCACTTGGCTTTGTAAGTCAATTTTGCAACCTAGCTTTGCTGGCTTCGTCACTTAACTTTTTATTACTTGGCCCTATCAAATTTTGCCATATAAATTTACTATTTAATTTTGATATCTTAGCCACTTGAGTTTGTAATTAATTTTACAATATAATTTTGTTTACTTAGCCACTTAGCTTTTTGCTACTTAGTCCTATTAAATTTTGCCATATAATTTGCTAATTGGATTTGATGACTTTACTAATTAGCTTGTATTTATTAAAAATATCATTTATCTTTGCTTTCACTTGGTATTTTACTATTTAACTTTGTTACATTTAACCATTTAGCTTATAACTTAATTAATTAATTAGCTTTATTAGCTTTTGCCACTTGCTTTATTACTTTACTAGCTTTTTCACAACATTATAAATATTATAGAAATTTATCTGGCACTTTAATTTATCTTTTAATTTTTTTATAATTTTATTTAATAAAAAAATTTTAATAAAATGAAAAATGAATCATATTCTGATAATAGTGAAGAATTTTTAAATAAAGAACCCATTCAAGATATGGAAGATTCTAACCAAAATATCCAAGATGAGGGATCTAATTATGAGGATAAAAAAAACAGAGATCTATAATTCATAGTAATTATACTCTCAATAAAGAAAATAATAAATATCACTGTAATCATTGCAGGTAAAATTTAAATTTTTAGTAGTAATAATAATTAAAATATAAAAATTAATTTGATTTTTTTTTAAGTTTAATTTATAAAATTCCTAAAGATGAATCAAATTCAATATTAAGAACTCATCTTAAAAAGAAACATTCATATTTATTTTCAAAAGTTAAAGGGCCAATGGATAAATATATTAATATAAAAGATTCCTTAGTATATATATTATTTTTGTTAATTTAATTATATTTATTTTAAATAATAATATTTAATAATTTAATAATTTATAATAATAAACATTTACACAAAAAGATTGGTTAAATGATTTAACTAAATGGATAATTATGGATGATCAATCTTTTGTTATTGTTAAAAATATATTTTTTTCAAATAATGATAAAAAGACTTAATTTTGAAGCAAAAATATGTTCTGCTGATACTATGCATAATAATATTATGAAAGCATATAATGAAAAAAAAATTAATATTAAAAAATAATTACAAGAAGTACTGGGTAAAATTTCATTTATTCTTAATTGTTGGACTTTTAAAAATCAAATTCTATTTCTTAGAATTACAGCATATTGGATTACAAAAGATTGGGAACTTAAAGAAATCCTTCTTGATTTTTATCATTTTGAAGGATCTTATTCTGGTAAAAATATTTCATATATATTTTATAAAATCTTAAAAGAATATAAAATACTATAAAAGAAACATTTTTAATTTATTTATATTAATAAAAAATAAGTATATTTTAATTAATAAATAATATTTTTAATAGACATTAAGCATTACATCTGATAATGCATATAATATAGATACTGCATTCACTCATTTAGAAAGTTATTTTTTAAATAATAATATAACTTTTAATTCTGAAAACCAATGTATACAATGTTTAGCCTATATTATTAGTTTAGCTACTCAAGAAGCTCTTTTAATATTCAAAGGAGTTAGACCAGAAAAGGAAGAAAATGTATTAGAAAATATAAAAAATAATCAAAATATGAAAGTAATTGAAAAGGTATAAAATTTTATTTTTTATTTTAATTTATATTAATTATTAATAATATTATTATAATTTTAGTTAAGAAAATTAGTAGTTAAAATTCATGCATCACCTCAAAGGCATGAAAAACTTAATCATCAATGTATTGCTTCAAAAATTAGAAGTTTTCAATTAATTTCAGATATTAAAACACGTTAGAATTCAACTTATGATATGATGGAAAGAGTATTAATACTACATGAGATAAATTATAAATTATAATTATTTTATTTTTATTTTATTTTAATAAAATTTTTTATTAGCCATTATATAGTATGGCATCAACAAATGAGGAATTAACAGAATTTTTATTATCTAATGATAAATGGAAATATAATATAAAGTATATAATACAGTATTCAGCTAAAATGATAAATGATTCAAATGATAAATGATAAATGACATCTGAGTCATTTGAATGTAATGTTAGCCAGTACTATGGTTCTGACCTGCATTACGTTTGCTTTATTTTTTTTACTTTACTTTTCAATTGAAATCACATGATACGGTATCAAAATCAAATGACTGAAATGATCAAATGCCAAAGGATTAGGAATAATGACAAATGATTGGGCAAATTATTTAAATGGTCAGATGACCAGGTCATTTCCGAACACTGATATAATGAGCTCATTATTATCTTTATTGGTTTATTTTAATTAATAGGAATTGTAGACAAGATACTTTAGAAATGATGATCGGTATATCTAGAACATTCTTGAATTAAACTAAATTATATTTAATATTTTAGTTACACATGCATATTTCTTTAAATTAAAAGTAAAACTTCATATCTCTTATCCTAAGTTTTTAAAAACTTTAATTGAGCACTGTATAGAGTAGCAATATAGTCTGAAATCACTTACATAAATAAATTATGTACGTACTTTTCTTCCTTCTAACCTTTGATGATAACTTAAATTCTAAACATAAATCCATGTGATACACATTTTTGCGCAGCAGCAGAAGCGAAAAAGGAACCTTAAAAAATAAAAAATAAAATTATTCCGCGTCTCGATGCAATCAAACTGAAAATGAAATAGAAATAAAATAAACGAAACTTATTATTTGTTAGCAGTCAAGAGAAATAAATCTAAAAATAATAATCATAGAATAAATATACTGTCTATTATTGATTCGACGCAGCGGCCAGAAGAATCGAATATTACTATTTATTATTAATTTATAGTATATTACTTTTCCAAATTGGTATTAATGATTATTAAATCCCAATTAAATGGTAATTTTTATTAAATTTCTGAATTGGCTAAATTAATTGCCAAGTGCTTATAATTATCATTATGAAACTATAATTCAATAATTTACAAAAAAACCAACTTAATATTAATTGCTTTTACAATGGGTTAATCTATGATTATGCTTATACAACTTAAAGTTGATTGTTAGGAAAATCAGGTTCCGGGAATTTTTTAACAAATTTGAGTTTTTTATTGCATTTTCGTTTTTGATTAAAATGCAAATATTAGTCAAAACTTTCTCGGAACCTGAAATCTTCCCATATAAATAATGAGTGAGCTTACTATTTATAAATTATCATTGTTCTATACTAAACTTAATTTAGCAACAAATTTAACCAAAAATTGAAAGTGCCAGGAATCATTACAAAAGAAGACTTTCTACATAAACAATATGGGTCGGTTAATAAACTTAAAATTCTGTTCGGGCTGGCATTATAAATTTGTCCAGAGCTAGGTATCCTACAATCTTAATTCTGACCAAATCTTGTTATGGCCGAGTTAGGATTGCTATTTTTAATGTAATCAAACAATTCCCAATAAAAAATGTCATTGATAAATGACTTTTTCTTGGCAAAAATCAAGTTATGTAAGTACATCAATAAGGATTGTCATTCCATAAATGACTTATCTCATTTTTTTTGCAGATCATTTGTGAACAAACTTTATTTAATCGCAAAATTTTCTTTTTTGTTTTTCACATCAGAATCTTTCAACAATTTTAACAATTTACCATGAACATAATAAATTCACTAGGAGCAACAGATTTTATAGGAATAATTGTATCGATTATTCTTGTATACTTTGCAAGATTTTATTACAAATATTTTACACGACCAAATCCTTTGCCGGGACCAGTTCCACTTCCTATTTTTGGAGATTTATTGGCAATCTTTTATTTTGCCAAAGGCGATGTGACATTATGGTACAAGTTACTACAGAACAAATACGGCGATATTTTCGAAACTTATATTGGAAGTTTTCGAAGAATTGTACTCTCTCGAGCAGATTATGTTGAAAAATTAATGTCACCGTCCACAAAAACCAATTACGTATTGAGAACGGAACAAATGCCAGAATATGATGAGATAAACACTACGGGAAAAGGAATTACATTTAATACAGACATTCCTACTTGGAGATTTAATCGACAATTCTTTTCACAAGTAGTTCTTACTCTGAGTTTCTCAAAAGAGGCCTTACTTAGTACTCCGATACTTTTCAATGAATTAAATGGATATTGGAAAGAAATCGGAGATGATGTACCAATTGATTTTGCGATTTGGATACATAAATTCACCACTGAAGCTATCTTTCAATTGGTTGTTGGAGTAAAAGTTAGCGCAATGACAAAATATTTTAATGATAACGTAGAATTATCAAAGAGAAAGTATATTGAGCCAAGTCATATAGATGAAGAAATTAAAAATTTTGATCAAATCATTGATACTCGTCTAAGAAATACAATATTTCTCTTTACAGTCCCGGCTTTTTTAAGACAAACAATTTTTAAAAAAAGGAACGATGCAATGCATGAGAATAGAAATATGACCCAAAGAATTATAACGAAAATTATTGATCATCGTCGAAAAGAAATTGAAGATCACAAGGAAGTAAAAAGTAACCTGTTGACATTATTAATCACAGCCAATACTGAACATGTTGATGGGGAATATTCTAAACCTTTAACCAATGATCATATTTCTCAAATTTTAATTGAGGCTATTACTGGAGGAATTGACACAACAGCAAATTTATTATGTTTTATCGTATATCATATGGCTCATTACCCTAATGTATTAGCTCGCTTGCGAGAAGAATTAAATAACATTTTTGGTTCTGAACAAAATCGTCAAATTACGATGGAAGATCTTTCAAAAATGCATTATACAGAAGCTATAATCAAAGAATGCTCTCGTCTTATAAATCCCTCAAAAATGGTTCAACGTAACTCTTCCACCAAAGACACTATGATCGATCGTGAATGGCCTGCAAATACTGCATTCATTGTTTATATTGAAAGAATTCATCATAACCCTATTCATTGGGACGATCCTCTTAAATTTAATCCTGATCGATTTATGGAATCTGAACCACAAAAGAATACATTTTTGATGTTTGGAGGAGGAGTGCGGATTTGTCCAGGAAGAAAGTTAGCACTTGTCACTATGAAATGTCTAATCTCTTTGATCTATAGAAATTTGGATATTTCATTAGTAGATATGGATGCTCCTTTAAAATTAAAGAATACAATTGTAACCACCTGCACTGAATTAAAGATTAAAGTTAAGCAAAGAGAATCGCATGTTTAATTTTAATTCTACTTAAATAATTGTGCACGTTATTTTAAATTATTTGTTAATTTTGAAGTTTATAGTTTCATTATTTTTATTTTTATTTTTTTTTTTGTTGTTTGAATAAATTTATAAATTATTTAGTTTTATCTTTAACTAATAAAATATTATTTTTTTGATTTATCTTAATTGGCAGAAATTACAGTTTCGATCGTAGTTCCACAAATTTTATAGTGCCAACAACCCAATACCTGGGTTATAAGTTATAACTTCCTTTATTTAAATCATTGATGTTGTTGAGTATAAAATTGTTATGGTCGGGTCGCACGTGAAATTAACTACGTGATTGCATTTTTATTATATAATTGTTACCAGATTATAAATATTGTGTACCCACCTCTTTAATATATTTAATGCTTAGCTGATTAAAATGAACAGTTTTGACATCTGATCTCTCATTTACATTTGCATGCATCACGATGACTCAGTTCTTTCATCTCTGATCGAAATAACAGATCGTTATAATGAGCTCTTTTCGCTTATTAATTAATTGTTCCGAATCATACATAGGAATGAGGACGGTTTAGCATATCCTTAGTTGCCTTAGTTACAACCAATTTTAAAAATCCAACCGGAACAGCCCGGACCGGCTCAAATTAAAAAAGCAAAACATTTTTTATTTATCACGTTAAAGTTAGGAAAACCGAAGAGGAACCGAAATAAAACCGAGAGAACAATCCCATCCAGCCATGATTAATTGATTTTATAAATAGACTTCGATTTTGTTTTTGATTTAAATAGGGTAGTAATAGTTGATTTTTAATAAAAACTCATCCCTTCCTTCTTGATAAATTATTTTTTATAATTGATCGCCATTCTCCATTGTAAAAAATCGTTCTCGAAAATCTCGGAGTTGGTAACACATGGATCCGTCTACCTATTAAAATTTTAAATTAAGCAATATTTTTTGAAACCGTAAACGTCACAACGGTTCACGTCTTATTTGCGTCTATCTTTCTTTTTTATCAAACACTGAAAGAATGCAACATTCGGGTAACTGGAAACAAAGAGATACTTTAAGCGACAAATAGTAATAAATTAATCTTTAACATAGAAATTATTATATACTTTTACTTTCAAATTCACATAATTAAAATTTCTTACTTTAAAAATTAGGCACTTAAAGACTATTAATTAACCTCCAAATGGAACGGCTGGACCAATCCAGCCGATTGTAATTATTTAAAATATGAAAGTTTAGCTTGTTCTTTCTTTCTCGTTTTCGGCGCTAAATTATTTTTTGAGGTTTATATATACAAAGAAAAAAAAAAGTTCTAATCCGGAATTTTAAAATGTTAATCAAAATCGTACTTAAGCTATTTTTTTTTTTCTTATTGAGTAAATTAAATCACCAAATATTGAAAATCAATGACTGACTGCGAAAAAGGACTTTTAATTTACCAATTAAACTTTTGAGAAAGAGTGAAGTAAATAATCATGTAAACAAAAAGGTTGATATTATTTCAAATCTGCAATTGGCGCAATTTATCCTTATCATAAGTCCATATTTTTTTCTATTAACAGTAAGTTCATAAAATCCGAAGAATGAAACTTAAATAGGTAAGGTTTGGTGTTTTAAAAAAAAAAAAATAGTACAACGTGTAAAATTTGATTTCATAATTTCGAGAATGCAAATAAAAAAAAAAATTTCAATATTAAAAACAAGTACAGATGATGCCTTTTTTTTCTTTGTTACAATGTTGCCAATTATATTATAACTGTCGCAAACTTAAATTAAGATATATAAACTCTCAAAATGATTTTTTTAAAATTTATACCGCCACCTAAAGTTATACACAAAGATTGTTTTTCCTCCTTTAATTAAGAATAAGATAAAATAATAAGCAAAATGTCTTCTAGAGGGCATTTTGAATCTGAACTAAAAAATTTATTATATAATCTTCGAAACAATTCTAAGATTTCCGCTATTTCAGACGAAAATCCACGTACAGTTGCTGATCGCGCAAGAAAAACAAACGTTTGGCTATTAACCGGAATTGGATTACTTAAATGGAATATTGAAAGCGAGGCGAAAATTTTAAGCCTAGATGATAATCCGAATTTAATTAATACTGCAACAAAGTTTATCTGGAATTCAACACTTACATATCCTCAAAGGCAAAAATTTGAAAATTTGGCAAAACATGCTAATATGATAAACCGAAATATAAGGCAAAACATTGACGACACACATAATAGAGTCGCTCAAATGGATACTCCCCAAGCTGGTAATAATCCCTTGAAAAATGGCTTCTATAATGGAACGAAATTTGGAAATAATGGATTGGATTTCTTGTTACCAACCGGAAGTTTGGGGAATTCAGGATGGTTAGATGATGGGACCGGTCTTTAGGTGATCTAAATATTTACACGTGTCGAATGTTAAGAAATTTGAAATATTTAATTAAAATCGTAGATTATGAATGTTTTTACATTTTCTCGCTTTTTTTTTCTTTATGATTGTGTCATAAGAAAAAATTAATTTTTAAAAAAATGTATTAATTTGTAAACAATTAAAAATTTTCGATTTCAGTCACAATAATCAAAAATTCGGCATTTTTTTTTCTTGTATTTTGCAAATATTTTTTAACGATCATGCTTCTTCCTTAAAATGATTTACCATTCATTAATTTTATTAAAAAGGAATCTTATAATAAAAAATTGAATCGATTGATAAAAATTGAAACGATCACAAAAAAAAATTATTTCTCGACGCTTTTTCATTTTTTTGTTTTTCCATATCAGAAAAGGGATAAGACCAAAAAGTTTGTGCTCATTTTAATAGAACGCACGTGCAGATAATTTTAATCAAACAAATTACCATAAGAAATTTCCAATAAAGGTTCAAAACTCTGGCACAAACTATTTGTCATTCGAATATTTTTTTCTCTGTTGTTGTTTCACGTTAAAGCAACAATAATCCAATTTTTTTTTCGATTGTTAAGGAAAATCTTGATAAAAAAGGAAACTTGAATTAAATTTTTAAAAAAAAAAAAAAAACGGATGTTTTAAAAAAATTGATTTGATATTCATTCACCTCACTAAAATAAAATAAAATTTTATTTAAAATTTCTCTTGATGCGAAAGATTGTGACCATTCATGATGACTTAAAATTTGATATAAATTTTTTATTTCCCAACAGTTATTTTAAAGGAAAATTTGAATAACATTAATATAATTATTTTTGGTTCGATATTAAAATTTCAAGTGTGTTTTGTTTATTTTCTAGACGTCCTGTTCTTTCCGCATGTTTTTGTTTTTGTTTTTTCTTTTTTTCTATCGGCTGAAGAAAAACAAAACGAAATTTAATATTGAATATTAACAAAATTTATTCTTGGAAATTATTTTATGATAAACATAAAGTCATTTACTTCATCACATTTAAAAATATAAATATAATTTAAAGTAAAAAAAAAAAAATACATATATCATAATGAAGTGACTAATAATTATTTGTTTTAGAGATTGAATAATTGAGTAAATTAAATTTTTTTTATTTACTCTTGTTTTAAAAAATCGTTCATTTAGAAGTATTTCCTGATATTTCACAAATATTTGAGTTCTCTCATCAAATCTCGAATTTTGTTTTTTTAATGGTAAAATATTAAATGATAATTTAATTATAAAAAAATTTGTACATTGTTTTTTTTTAATCAAAAATCGAAAAATTCAAATATAAGAACGTATTATTTAATTGCTCCAACGATGAATTTCATTCAGATAAATAAAATTTCAGTCTAAATTTAGGGATACTAAAACAATTAATAAAGATAAAATTTTTAAATTGAGGATTAATTAGTGCTCCGATCGACCCGGGTTGTATTTTTTCTCGAGTCGGGACTATCATTTTTATGACGCGAGTCCTAAATTCAAAAAAACGTCGGGTCAAAATCACGTTTTTGCTTGAGTCGACCCGGGTCAATCAAGGTGACCCGGATGTTTAGGATGTAAATTGTATTCGATAATAGGATGCCAGGTTGGCAGGATGACAAAATGACAGGATGTCAGGCTGTCCTAATAATAATTATTTTTTTTTTTTTTATAAATACAAGCCGGAAATCCTTAAACGTCTCAATATACCACGCTCCCCTCTTCTTTGTATTTGCATACATACACCTTGAAAACCTTCCTTTAATCCCTTTGCGAAATTTTCTCTTTCTCCGTTTTAACCATTTAATTTTGTATTTGTAATTTTTTTTTTAATTTCCGATTTTTCTAATTAATTTATTATACAATATTCGTAATTGCGGAGTTTTAATTAAATAGAGTTTTATTAATTAGCATTTATTTAGTTTAATATACTGACATTGCGAAAGTCGTTGAGGCAACACTGATTAATTTGATATTATTAAATATATTTAATGTCAACATTACTTCATTTTTACTCAATAAAAACCTTCGTTTACAGATATATAAACGAAAGAACTGAATACAACAATATCATATTAATTGACGCGCTAGACCTTTTTTTGTTTTATTAATATAATAAAACTAGGAAATAGAATCCAGAAAGCTTTAACTTATCTGCGATTTTATTGGTTGAATTTTGTGTCATCATATGGGCCGATTTGTCTCACATCACTAATTAATAAAAGTGATAAATGTGAAATTTGATCGACATGTCAATATACGAAAATAGTGAAAATAGTGATGATATCAAATAATGCATGATGACGTATATTTTGATTTCGCTTTTAAGCCAATTGTCAAAGACTTCGCACGCTTGCAAAACTTGATTTCGTAATGTTAAAACCTGTCGGGAATTGAAGGAATTTATTTTTTTTGGAAATGGTAAGTGGTATTGTAAAATTATTTAATTTAAATATTAGAAAGGTTATTTAGTAAAATGGCAAAAATAACTCTTATTCCTATATATTTTTTAGATAGCATTGAAAGGTTCTAAAAAAAATTTTTTATTATTGTAATTTTAATTCTTATTTATTTTATTACAGGTTTTATAGGATGTTTTGTGTTATTTTATTTACTATCATGATGAGATTATGTACCGTATCTTTAAAGGGTTATAGCTATAGATAAATATGCAGAGTTTAGACAATTTTAGTATTATTAGAAAGAGTCTTGTTTGTCCTCTTAGAGCATTAAAATTATTTAAATTGGATTATAGGAAGCTTGGATAATAATTTTTGAGCATATTATAACATTTATTTATAGTTTTCGTGATTTCTCATTCTTTTGTAATTCATTTTGAACAATTTTATTTTATAAAACAGATATAATGGTTGTTTTCAAGTAGTTTATAAAATAATTCTAATTATTATGAAATTTGTGTGGTTAAAATTATAAAAATTTTTCTTTTTGAATTCTTTTAACGAAATTTTTTTTAAGTTCGTATTTATTGATCACCACGCACGTAAAATTTGACCAATAAATGAACTTTAACTATGATGATAAATGTGACAATGATCGATAGCCTACAGGTGACATAATTGAAGTGAGACAAATCGGCCCATATGTCACATAATTATTAATTTTGATTGGTACAAAATTGATCGTCATAAAAATTTACCAAAATAAAAGGATAAATAAAAAGAATTTTTTTTTTAGCAAGTTTTAGTTAGATCTTGAGTCTAGCTACGACCTTAAGGATCCTAAGATTGGGCTTCGGGTTTATCTTGAAATATATCAATACAATCGCTATATGATCTCTTAGTATTCGAATACTAAACTTAAAAAAAAAAAAATTTTTTCTTTTTTTTATAAATTTTTTTATATAAAAATTCTTATTAAATATATC